AACAACAACAACAACAACAACAACAACAACAACAACAACAACAACAACAACAACAACACGTGACGGATCGTCGTTGTTCACCGAACGGTGAGCCACTTCATCCTGAAGCTCCATGTGACCTGACTGGGACCTGACTGAGACAGGTTGGAAGTATTCGTGGTACCCTGGGACTGTAAACATGAAGAAGTTCTTGTGGGATGGACGCCTGTCGTCCGGGCATGTCCGGGCATGTCCTCATCACATGAGGCTGGCTAGACCTGCTCAAGAACTCCACTCCCTCATGACCCTGCTCTTCACTTGGCCACGTCACCAGCGGCAGAAAGCCATGGACCCATGGAAGAGATGTGGTCCGACCGGGACTCTGTCATGTCCAAGTGGCACAAAACCAGGACCGAAACCAAGTCCGGTGGTTTTGGGCACAACCGCGAGGGGAGGCCATGAAAAATATAGACACCTCTTGGTGTCGGTCCTGGGTTTGAAACCAACTTCCTCCACACAACCCGTCGACTTCACTGGTCTCAACCGCGCCGGTCTCGCGGCAGGGAAAGCTGCTGCCTGCCCTCGCCGGGATAGGTGCCACCCTCTGTGGTCAGGAGATATTCCCCACTAAGAACGCAGGGCTCACCGACCCATCAATTCCACCAACCAGCAGCCTTGCACTCGGATTTTTGTTGCCGACATCATCCGACTTATCCGACTCATCGCCCGTGTTTGGGGGCGAAGATCCACCAGAATTGCCCAGCACAGAACAGAATTGGCAGTATGAGAAAGAACAGTACGTATAACACCTCAGGTGCCTGACACCAGAAAAAGGACGCAGTAGCCAGTGAACAGCTTGGAATGGACCAGTGACAGCTTGGATAGGGCGGAGGAGGTCAATCCGCACGCGAAAGCGCAGGGAATCCCAAACCTCACAACGAACTGCGCAGGTCGAGCGAGCTGAGACCGGATGGCCGGAGAGACGGCCGGAGAGCCGATGTTTTTTTGTTTTTTTTTCCAAGTCCGGTGGGGGAATGGGTGGGGAGATTGGGTTCGATGTTTTGGGGGTTTGGTGGATATGACCAATGACAGGTTCTTGATTCGGAACATTTTTCAGGTTCTTGATTCTTGGTTCTCTCCCTGGTGATTCCACCGCGGGGAAACCCGAAGCTTCCTCTGGTGACCCCATTTCTTCATGAAGGTTGGACTTTAAGAGGTGTGATGGGCGAAACGATTGGAACGCGCGCCGTGGGCGAGACCTCGAGGTGTGGAGATCCTTTGTGCTCCTGTAAGTCCTGTAAGGCGAGACCGTGCGCACCGAGCATAGCGCGAGCTGAGCTGCAGATCTTTTTTCCTTTTTTTTGTAAGGCCCTGAAATGGAAAGGGCCTCGAAACTCACATGAGTCTATAATGGGATTGCCCCCGTCAAAGAACATGAGATGAGAAGAGATTGCAAGGGGTCAAGGAGTTTTGGCTGATTTATGAAGTGAAGTCTTGGGCCCAGGGTTTGATGAAAATTTCTGAAGCCACAGGCGTTTGTACAACCTTATATATCAAATCTCTGTGTTTGTGTTGACCTTTTGCCTTCATCTTCTTTTATCAGACTCCTTAAGTCGTTCATTGAACGGCAGTTCTGTTCAAAACACCTGTTCCATGATCGTTCTGCATTGCATGCCAGTCCCATGCCTGGGCCCAAACGAAAGCCAAGCACAGCAGCATCCCCAGCTGAGCCAGGCCAAAAGCTCCCAGCCTGGGCGGCCCAGATCACAGTCCGGATCGGTCAGTGGCAGTCTGATACAGGTAGGTGCCCTGGTCTATGCCGCCTATGAGAGTCAACTGTGAAGAATTGCCAGGGGAAGGCTTTTGTTCTTCGCAACCCGTTGCCCAGGAAGCATGTTTCATGAATCAAAGCCTCACCTCTTAGTTGCAGGCCCAAACCGACCCACAGGTTTGTTGAATCCTGAACTTTCCTGATCTCAGCTGGAACTGCTGCTCACTGCTCAGAGCGTTTATATCCTTCGTGACTTCGGACACGTCTTCGCTTGGAGCAGCTGTCCCAACGTTCCATCCCATGCCTCCTCGGCCGCCGCGAAGAAGACAGCGGGGGGGGGGGCTGTCTCGAGGTGCGGTCAATGGTGTGATGCGCTGTGCCAGCGCGGTGGTCTCGAGGTGCGCGGTGGTCTCGTGATGGCAGGTGTTTTTTGTTCCTTTTGTGTTGATGCGTGTTGATGCGTGTTTTTCGCGCTTCTCAGAGGAATGGGGGGGCCACGAACCAATGTCCAAAAGATGATAAAGATTTGGATGAAACCTCCCAAACCAAGCTTGAGATGTATGAACGTGGATGTTATGTCAGATATGTTTGTTTCCAAACTTGGCTGTGTTTCCACCGCGCTGCCTGGGGTGTTTGGCGTCGGTTGGGAATGATTCGACAAAAACCTGGTCAGGCCAAAGCATGCCTCACCCCAACGACAGGCATCTGGAGGCCGGGTATGTTGTATGAGAGAAGACTGACCTTGGCTTGGCAGCTTGGGTTGAGGGGTTGTTTGAGGCTTTCGGCTTCAGGTATTGTTGACTTTCGGGGGGTTCTGCGAGATGTAGGCGGAAGTCTAGGTCTCGAGGTTTTAGCTTGATCTGTTGAAGTTCCTTGAGTGATCCAGTTGAGGATAAGACCACTAATCCCATTTTGACTACTGTGACTATACTGATATATCCGACTATATCCCTAGAAGTCAGACTACTTTTCATGACCAAAGTAAAGGAAGTCCTTTGTTTTTCGGGTCACCTGAAGACCATTACAAGTGTGAATTTCAGCGGTTGTAGCCAGGGTGTATTGCGTACAGTTGATGCACCGTCGCTGCTGTTTCGGCTGAACAGGGCCCTTGAGCTGATTCGCTGCTGCGGAAAGGAACTGTGCGAGATTCAAACTGGTAGCGGAGCAGGTTCTGAAGGGGCACCCTCAGGATCTGACTCACCCGGGGAGACTCGCTGGATCCAACCGTTGAACCCAATTGCGTGACCCTGCGCGCAATCCGTCGAACCGTTGTAATTCCAGTGCTTTGCGAAACTTGTTGAGTTGCGATGTCGCTGGCTGGCCTGCGGTACACATCCCACGGAGGAAGTATCTCAGGACCACAGGAGACGAAGAGCGGATCGTATATCTACAGTGGCAATCCAAATGGCTTCTTCGAATGGGAGTTTCGCACCAAGGTCCGCGTTGCTTTGCACAAGCAGAAACATGCGAAGAAGAAGTCAGAGAAGACCTATTCGAGTCATGGAAGCCAATCAGCCACACCAGAACGTTCTCAGAGGAGGCCGACTTATGCGACCGAAGCTGGGGATGTATCAGAGGATGACGAGGTACGATTTGAAGCTTTTGGAACCCCGAAGTCCGAGAGCGTGGCAGGAGAGGAAGAACCAGCTCTGAGCACTGCCGGACTGGATGATGATGGAGCAGAGTATGCAACACTTGTTCACAAGGTGTTGGAAGGTCTGCGAGGTGATGCATACCTTACAGCCCAAGACATGGGACTGGAGAAGTTGTTGACTTCAACTGGCATCGATGAGTTGATATCGCGTATTCGTGCACAGGTTTTCCCACTTCGACAGCAAGAAGCACGAGAGTTGTTCAGAGTGGGTCAACTCCCACATGGTCCCTTGTCTCGCCAATCGACAGAAAGCGTGACTAGCTACATTTCACGAAGACGTCGTTGGTGGAGGAAGCTTTTGGAGATGGATGATGGGGTAAGTCTTTCAGACCCCATGCGTGGTGAGCTACTTCTGGAAGGCTCTGGCTTGAGCAAGACAGAACAGCTTATGATCAAGACAGCTGCAGGCGACAACCAATCCTTTGACGTCTACGCCAAGTTCTTGCTTGAATTCCATGGACAAATCCACTTGCGCAGCTGGTCCGCTTTTGGCAATGCGAGCCCTCGGAGGCAGAAAGGCGGAGGCAAGTTTTCAGGCAAGTCTTCCTACAAAGGAGGAAAAGGGCGCAGTTGGCAAAGATCTGCGTACATTGTTGAAGATGACTCATGGGATTATGAAGAGTCCTATGAACCAGAAGCAGAGGATGACTATGACATGAAGCTTACGTTGCAGCAGAAGACGAAGAACCAGAAGACGAAGAACATGAAGACTATGTCGAGGACCCTGAAGTTGCCACAGCGTTGATGGCAATGGGAGAGTGTGATGATGAAGAAAACGATGTCTCAGAGGAACTGGGCAGCGCAGCCCAGCACCAGATGATGGCTTTTGTCGTGACTGACCAGTTGAAGGGCAAGAGCAAAGGCAAAGGTAAAGGTTCAGGAAAGAAAGGTGGAAAGAGTAAAGGAAAAGGCAAGTATGTGTTCAGGACACAGTTGAGCGTGCAAGACAGGATTGCACGTCTAGCAAAGTTGAAATCAGTGTCCAAATGCTTGCGTTGTGGAGGAAAAGGACATTGGGCAGGAGACCCAGCTTGCAAGTTCCCCAGGCAGAACGACAAGTCCCCTGGAGGAACGTCGTCGACGAGTAAAGCCACAGCCTATTTTGCATTGAGTGATGATGAGTCTTCTGTTGAAGATGAATACATGTGTGTTGATGTCAGTGGCCAAACTGTCGAAAATGGTACGTGCTACATGGCATACAAGATGTCCCCAAAGAAGAAGCTTGAGTTTGAACCGTCAGACCGTGCATCCATGTCGTCAGGAGCGACCAGCAGTCCACCGTCTAGCTTTTCGATGGTCGAGCCAAATGTCCGTCGGTCACCGCAGAAGTCCCCACCGGTCATGCGTAGGAAGAAGGACATGGAGCAAGACTTGTTGCCTGAAGGTTCACAGAATGTCTTCGTGTTTGGTCAGCACCAAGGTTTGACATATCATGAAGTGTTGTTCAAATACCCTGGATACTATCAATGGGGATCAGGCATTTCGCACCCTTCGCGTTGTTTGGCAGATTTTCTGACCTGGGTGCCCAATATTACGAAGTCAGTCAGGACGGAGACGTGAGCCTGAGAGAGCATCCCTTGACAGATGTGCCAGTAGAGGCAATTCGACGAACTGGAGACAAGAGTGCCAAAGGGAAACCACCAAACCCCCCGCTAGAGGAACCTTGCCGTCGTTGCACCAGATTCACATTTCAAGGTTCAAATGCCTATGTTGAGAACAAGACATGCCTTGACTGCGGAAAGAATGAGAGAAAGAAGAAAGAGAGCAAACCTACTACCGATCCCGCAAAGTGTAAGCATGAGGTTACGGATCGTCGGGGTAGTTCGAAAACCACGTCCCGTTGGTACTGCAGGTTGTGCGGAACCACAGTCGACGAGATGCCCCGAGAAGAGGCGCGCAAGAGAGAGGCAATGGCAAAGAGTGTGGTAGGCATGCGCACTAATGCATTCGACACGACAGCATCCATGATTGAAAATGAAATCAACGATGCATGCATGTCAGCTGAAGGAACCCTAGAGGTCATGGAGATCTTTCGACAAGAGGTTGAGTGTGAGTTAGAATTTGGAGAACCTGTGAGGGTTGGCGTCCTGTTTGAGATCCTTGCCAATGCCGTGGAAGTCATCAGAGAGGCCGCTCCGGAAACTTGCTACATGGGACTTTTGTCGGATCTCAATGAAGCCACAATTGAAAACACACTTCGTCTTGTTGACATCATGGAAGACCCTGGAGTCTGGGCTGTGTTGGACGAAGGATGTAATGCAACTGTTTGTGGACAAGCATGGATCCAAAACGCCAAGGACAAGTATGCACGTCTTGGGTATGATGTAGCTGATTTGCAGTGTGACTCAAAAGCCTTCCGAGGACTCGCCGGAGACACCAAGACTTTGGGCAAGTGTCGAATTCCATTTGCTTTGACCTTTTTGGACCCCGAGACGAAACTTCCGGGAGTCATGGAAACGCATGTTGTCGATGGGAAGATTCCCTTGCTTTTGTCACAGCATGCTCAAGCTGCATTGCATTTCACGAAATCTATGGGTGATGCCAAGTGTTATGTAGGAAATGCAGAACACTGTGCAGAGCTAGGAACTCAGGACTTCTATGTGTGAACCTCTCAGAAGGTCTCAAGAGCCTAAAGTCCAAGAGACTCCCAAAGCAACTTCGAGAACTTAAGAACACGGATTATGGCATGAGCTTCAACATTCGCCCATCAGATCAACTGACTGCTTTCATGGCTGACGAAGAGCGCCCGACTAGAGGCACTTTCACGCTGGATGACCCTGCTTGCGTGCATGTCTTGACATGTGGAAAGGAGTTCCATGGCCAAATTGCGAGCTTCGACCGCAGTAAGAGCATGACTACATTGGGGCCTATTCTGGCGCATTTTTAAATTCGGGAGGCGATTGCTAGTATTTGACTGCATGGGATTTGGAGATCCTCAACACGACCCGCAGTTGCGAGCCCATGTCGGTACACATCCTGAAATCATTCGAGGGATGACTGGCAGTGAGAAGACGATGGAAGCATTGCTATATGGACTTCATCATCTGAAGGCATGCCATGAAAAAGTGCAACAGCTGGCAGTCATAGCCTATTGCAGGCGAAACAGACACAGATCTGTATCCTTTGGTTGGTTGTTGGCAACGGCATTCAGCAAGCTATGCCCGAGAGCTCACTTGACCTTGACACATTCCAACCAGGAGCATTCATGGAGCCAGATGAGCGGCACATGCAAGGGCAAATGTGCTATGTGCACGCATGAGTCGCACGATGCTCTGGAAGCAGCCTTGAGGTCGAGGGACTATGTCTTGAAGCAGTTCGGTTTGAAGGCAGCTCCAACATACAGCCATGTCGGTCTGGTTGTGTTTGACTCTGAAGTTGAAGCCCGAGAGAGCGATAGAAGATCTCAGGCTCGTGTCGGTTCCCGCGTGTTGCCACCACCGCGGTGTCCAAAGAAACCACCAGTCCTTCGCCCCGCGGTGGTGAAGGCAAGCTCAGCAAAAGCATCAGCCCCCGTGCCAAAAGGGACACACACCATGTCTCATAGAGGACCAGGATCCGTGAGGGCAGCATCACCAGATCCACCACTCGCTGCAGCAACACCCAAGGCACCAGCACCTGAGGCACCAGCATCTGAGGCACCAGCGCCTGAGGAAGATGGGAGTCGATACAATGAAGATGCTGAACTCCGTCGTCGTGACAAGGCCGAGACCTCCAGGCAGGCAGAACCAAGGGGTGAATCAGTTGCTACAAGTCAGCCTGATGCCGCGACACAGGCCTTGCTACAGACTGTCGAGTTGTTGACGCAGCAAGTGAAGCACATGCAAGAACGTGAATACGAGAGGAGACGATCACGTTCAAGGGACCGACGCCGAAGGGAGCGATCAGACAGCCGGGACTACCGCCGTGGAAGGAGGCGTGACAGCAGCAGAGAGTACCGGCGCGGAAGAAGCAGGAGTTTGTCGAGGAGAAGGTCACATTCATTTGGTCGCATTCCAACACCACCAAAGCTGATCCCGAGAGAGCCGGAAGGACCGCCACCTAGATGGCATTACTACAG